TTCCTGCCCAGGGCAGGGGGTCGGACTCAATGATCTACTGAGGTCCCTTCCGACCCTAAAAGCCTACGAAATCTAGGAATACTACGTTATTCAAAATAGTCTATTCCTAGTAGCCTGTCTTCCCTTTTTGTAGCTAAAGAACCCATCCCCACTGAGATCCTGCAGTCACAGTTTACAAATATGCTCTTCAAATGTCGCACCTAAAGACACAAGTTAGTCAGTCCCTTTAATTTTCCCAACTCATTCTAATAAAATAAGCCAACAGATCTGGCCAGATCCACATCCATTCCCCAGTGGCATGGGCAACTGGTGCCACGTTAGCCGGGGGGGGGATGTGCCCCCCCAGCAACCAGGGGGAGGGGGGGTCCCAATCTGCCTCTTTCCCCACTTCCCTGCTCTCTGATATCAAATGATAAGAATATCTTTTTTTTGCCTCTTCCCCCCGATGATCTCTGACATCAGCCCGCAACGGGCTCCCCACGACAGCCCGCAGGACGCCCGAGAACGGGACCAGCCAGCTCCATCCCCGTCTCCGGAGAGTCCCCGTCCCCTTCTCCCCGCAGCCTTGCCCCTAACTGCGGGCGAGCAGGCAGCCAAGAGAAAAAAGGGACATCCCTCCTGCACCGCGGTTCTTTAGGCCCGAAGCCCCTCGCTGGGAGCAGCCCCTCATGTGGGACACCATTCCCGTGCTGGTCTCGGTGCGGGATGGGGGGGGGCTGGACGGGGAAGGCCCCCCCCACCGCCAGGCACCCTCCAGAGCGGGAGCAGAGGCAACCCCCTCCCGGGCTACAGGCCCCGCTCACAGAGCAGAGGCCGCCCCCGAGGCCCGCTGCTCGCTTGGGAGCCGGGCCCGGCCCATACCTGCCTGCCGCTGTCACCATGGCCACACCCGGAAGCAGGCTGACCAATGAGCACGCTCCGCTCGTGACCTCCCACCCCCCCCTGGAGGCGGGCCCTACGAGAGCCCGGCCAATCACAGCGCGCGTGAGAGCGGATGTTGCCGGAGGGGAAAAGCAGTCGCAGTCCTCCCCCCCCACCCGGGTCCGTTGCTTAGGTCGTTCCCTCCGGAAACAAAGCGGCGACTCCCGGGTTCCATGCTGGGAGCGGCAGGTTGTCTCTGAGGTGATGTCACAGGGGGTGCAAGTCACAGGCGTGACGTCCCTTTGGGCCTGAGTGTGGGCTCCTCCAGCCCCCAGTGCGCGACCAGCGTTGTCCCTATCTGGCGTAGCCCCGGGAAGGGGCAAGGCCGCCCCACGCCGCAGGGCGTTGCACGTGCAGCCGAGGGCGAAATGGGCAGGGCCGAGAAGAGAAGCCATGTGGGCTTGTGGCAGCTGAGGTGCAGGCATCAGACCTTGAGGTAGCCCGAGGCACCGAGGGAAGATGGTGTAAATGCTGATCTGGAAGGGACAGGCGAGGCCGCGATGAGGTGGAAGGCCCCTGCGAGACCACAGAGGGAGAGGCGCCAGCCGGGCTTTGGGGCCCTTCCTCAGGCCTGCGAGAGAAGCAGATTTGGCCTGAGCTCGGCACAGTCGCTGCCGTTCGACCCTGCTGTGTTAAGGGCATCTCGTTTTATTTCAAACAGGATGAGCTGGGCAGGAGCTAACCCGTTCTGCACAACTCGACGCCCGCGCGCCTGGGCCCGAGTGCCGGGGCGTGGCCCTGAGCCGAAATCCGCAAAACAGCGGAGCCAGAAGTGTCAGAAATGTCCCCAGATCTCCAGCAAAGATGGTTTCTAGCATGATTTGCTCAGCTGCCTACATCCCCACGTCACAGCTTCAGAGAAAACCCAGGGCACTACCTGGGTCTCCAGCACCTTAAACCAGTTTCTGACAACAACACTTCTTGATCTAAGGAGACCCACCTGGACTAGAGACTTTGCACGGATTCTGCCGCTCTTTCTGGTGTAAAAGTCTTTTTCAAACCTTCTGCATCCATCTTTGCATAGAAAAGACAAGCCTAATACTTGTGGGTTTCAGAAACGGGATGTATTTTGCTTGGTACCACAGAAACAATTTACCTCCGTTACAAGGGAAGATGTTTGTGTCTCACAGGTTCATCTACAGTCCTTATTATTGTAGGGTTTTTATTCCCAATTTTAAAAGCCCACAACAGAAATGCCTAATATCGCTATCAAAAATAAATAAAGAGCAGAGAGTGGTAGAGAGCATAGGATGTTTTAAGATGGAAGGCTAGTCATTGAAATGTAACTTATTCTGGAGTGGCTCCTAGCTGTTAAAAGAATCAGGGAGTTATGTCAAGACGTGGGTAGGTGGTGGGGAAAAACACCTTTTTTGTCAAACAGGCTCTTTAATGACTGCAAGGCAGGATTCTGATTTTGCATCCAGTTTGGAATTGGCACCTCCGGTCTCACATCGGTAGGCAATGGTTCAATAGTGACTCGGAAAAGAAGAGAACCGCTGCTTGAATTGCCAATTGCTGGGAGGAGGCTGCACAAATATCTTGACACTGTGACCAGAGGTAAATATTTTTCTTTTTTTTCTCCATAAATAAGACAAATGCATAGAGAAAAGACAGAAAAATAAAAACTAAGGCATAGGATCTGGGACACAAAACAGCCTAGAGAAAGACTGCTAGTGGTTTTTCTCTACCCTTCATCACTGAACCCCTCCCACCACCCCAGTGCAAGGAAGGCTGGACTTTCAAAGTACTACAAAACCAATTAAAAACAGTACACATTTTTATTCCTGGGTCAGTGTTTTGGTTTTGCTTTTCTTACAAAGGCCAGAATTTAATTTAAATACATATAATTGCTAAAAGGACACCATTCCTATTTCAGGCACATCGAGTCCGTGGCTTTCCCATGGGGAGAGGCAGCTTACACAACTATCTTCTAGGCTTTGTTTCTGAAATTATATTTGTTACAATATATTTAGTTCTTCTCCAGCCCTCTCCTATCTCTCACTTGCAGAGCTCAAAGGGATGGTCTGATGAGGGTAGCGAATGCAGAAGAGAATTACCATTTTAATAAGATTGATTTGGCTAAGGAGCAGTCAGCAGGGAGGCTAGAAGCTAAATGGGTGGGATTTAGCCTTGGCCAGCAATCTGGATTAGCCCTGATCTTTCCATTGCACATCTAGATACAGAAGACTGGCTCTTCCTCAGCAATCAGGCTGAGCTGATTTCCTGTCATTCCTTTTGGCTGCTTCCAGGGTATGGTGCAGAGCTGTTAAACTATTCCATCCTCTAGTTCAGGTGGGTTGAAAGTAAATTAGTGGCCCTGAGGATTGGGAAATTCATCTGTTTGCAGTGGTAAAGATTAATTTGGAAATTTCTCCTTGCTTTGGCTTTGGTGTGAATGCTCCTTTACTGTGTGTGTGTGTGTGTGTGTGTGTGTGTGTGTGTGTACACACACACATAGGGGATTGTGGGAATCATAGGTGGAATGTTCCTGCTAAACAGAAAGAAGAGGAACTCAGTCTGGCATCTCATTGAGGGCTAACAGAAGGGTTCCTCAGTATGCTCAAACTGGTTCCTCACAGAGCAGCCCATACTCCAGACTGCAACTCAGGAACACCAGCCCTTGATGAGATGGGGCTGAGAATACAAGATTGTCTCCAGGGCTGCAACCTCCCAGCTGAGGCAGTTACAGTCCCAGGCTTGCTAATGGGCTGTGGAGCCTTCCAGCACTAGACCAGCACTGGAATCCAGGCCAGGCCTCAGTGATCATATGGCTGCACTGCGGGAAATTAATCTGGGGGGTCTCTGTGCAATCCCAAGGGGGAAAGGGTTGTATATTGTGGCTAACCCCAGTGCCAAGGAGATGGGGACTCTGTCAGGGAGCAGGTACGTTGCCTCGCGTTGGGTGAGACTCCCCCTCACATACCGACAGCAGCTTCCTGTCTCTACAGCTCCTGGGCTGGGACCTTTTCCAGAATTCTCTTAAAAATTCATTGCTGCATGTTGGAGTGAGATGCATGGGCAGAGCTGTTTGGGGATACCTGGGACCCACATGAAAGGGCATACTGCAGAGAAGGACTGGGCTGCTTCCTGGAGCTGGATGGAGTAGGGAAGGGGACTGCTGGTCATTGGCAGCTGGGGGGGAGCCCAGAACTGGAGTAACGAGGGTGGCAGAGTAGGCTTGAGGTGTGTTGGCAGAGGGGAAAACCTTGTTGCTCAGTGTCTGCCTCTCCTTGTTCCCAAAGTGGGAATCATTGATCCTTCACAATCAATAGCACCATATTGGACTTGGGTTTTAAAACAAATGTTAAATTGCAACATTTTTGGAAGCATTTCCCTCCCTGGACCATTTCTCCTCTCCTGGACCTGTGAGATCAAATGGGTCTATGAACTTCTGGTTTGCCTGAGTTGCAGTGGGGCAAGTATATCATCTGCACAGACTGTTAGGATATGCTGGCGCCATGCAGAGGCAAAGCTGCTAATCGCAGGGGCATATCCTTATGGAGAACAGGGAGACAGAGACTCTTGGCCACAGCCATTTGAAAGGCAGATTACATATGATGACTTTGTTCTCTTCCTGCCTACTGACCAAGCAGATGCACTGGTGATGTGGGTTGCACTTAGGGGTAGTCTGCCATTACTAAGGAAATAAAACTCCGGAGGAAAGAAACTAAGATTGATCCTACAATGTACGGCCCTACTTATCTAATGAGACCTCCTGCTTTCCGGCCTCAGTGATGGATACCTGTCTCCATAAGATGAAAGAAAACGATGAACAGCATAACAAGGATCGTATACACATGAAACGGCAAACCAGCTTTTCAGCAGAACAACCCCAATGTATGTCCTGGTAACAGCACTGGAAGCAATGCCTGTTACAGGCTCCGAAATACAGGGCTGGCAAAGATGCATCTCTAATCCATCTTTCCCACCAAGCCGAGGCAGGATTGGCAGCAGCCACTCTTACTCCAGGTCCATTCCCAGAAGCTAGTGAGCATCTGTCTGAGAGTTAATTACTTCCAGTCTCCCATAGTAACTTGTATTACAGATGCCTGCCTACTTCCCTGAATTGGCAATAGTCACCACTGCACCACCGCCTCCCTTCTCTCCAGGTGCTTGGCAAAGTCAGTCTGAAACCCAGTAGCCCCCGGAGGCACCGTTGCCATCTGGATCTGCCTTATGGTGGCTTTGGCGGTAACGTTCCAAGGATTAGAGGCTGCATTTAGATGGTGTTTAGTTAGAGATGGAACCTCAATGAAATACAGTATTACACAAGGCCATTGATTTCATTGAATCAGTTGTTCAGGGATGAACATTGAATCAGGCTAAACTCATCTCTGGTGGAATATACTGATACTGCGCTCCAGAGGTGTGGAGCTTCAGCCCTTGTAACCAGGATTTCTATCCTGGGGAACACATGGGTGTAATTTGGCAGCAAGTCTTAACTTCTTCTTTTAAAAGAACTCCCCAGGTAATTTGATTATTGTGTTTTGGATCCTTAGACCCTCCAGAATCGTGAAGAGCTGGAATTCCTCTAGCCTTTCAGTGCTTCACTAGCAAACTTCTCCCCCAATACTGAGAGAAGGTGTCAATAAAAATAAGAGAGCAGTCCCATCTCCCTGTTTTTTGGAGCAAGGCACTAGTTGTAATCAGTCTGATGATGTCTACACCATTGCAAGCATCACTGAGCCCTGAGACAGCCTTTTAACCTGACTCCCTGGCGCAGTAATTTTGTGCTCTGCTTCTTCCAGTCTCTTAGTCATCTTTTTTTTTCCTCTGTCCCTTTTAGCAGGAGCATAAGATATGGCTTCTCCCTTAATAAATGCCTTGGCAGCCTCCCCTAAGCGCATGAGACTGTTCCTATAAGCAGCTGTGGTCCAGCCCTGGCCGAAAGTCTTCCCCTGGGAAAGGGGTCTTGGCTGAGTCTGGCCTGAAAGCTCCAGTTTTTGTGGTGCCTTCAGCTAAAAAATGTAAAACTTGAAAGGGCTGGGGTGTGAGAAGAACATCTCTAATCACAGCCTCTGATGTAAGACAGAGGCTCTCCTCCCCTCTGCCTGCATAGCTTGGCCTTATGGGAATGAATGGATGAAAAAGGAATTCAGAAGCAGCTGGTGGGGGGAGAAGGATGGAATGAGAAGAATTCAGTCCATGGACCTGGTAGAACTGTCAGCCTCTGGATGCCTTCCTCATCTCCTCGCTCCTGCAGCCCTGCCCTGAGCAAAAGTGTGTAGTCCATGGTGCCTCTCCAGGAGTGGGGCCACCCTGGATGTCCTGAGACTGCTCCCAAGGGTCAGTCGGTTTGGAACTGGGACAAGATCTGCTTGATTCAGGAGCTGTGACTGAAGAACTCCCCTCCCCAGCAGCAGCCCTTACAGATTTTCTTGCACAGCTTTTCTGTTAGGTCTGTTCTTCTGTGACTGTGACATGAATTCTTCAGCTATGGGCTGTGTCTCTGTCTTGTTCTCTTTTTAAAGTGGTTGGTTTCTGAGCTCTTCATTCCAGAATTATTTTATTAGTTTCCTGCAGCCCCTTTACTGGACAGTGGACAAGGGAAGGCAACAGGGCTTCTGCTGGGTTGTGTTCCTGCCATGTTCCCTTTCTGCAAACCCATGTTCTGCTGCTGACTCCAAAGTCAAGGTCAGGGATGAGGTGTTTTTATTTCCTCTTGCACCTTTCAGCTGAGGATCTCCAAGCACTTGGTAAACATTTGAATTGCTCTGCACAGCAGCCCCGAGAAGCAGTGCTATTCCCAGCACATGGAGGAAATGTGCATGGGAACAGAGAAGTGCATGTGCAGAGAAGTCAAGGCCCACATTTCCCAAGCACTAAGTCTAGGTGCTGTGATTGCCAAGGGTCCCACTTGGGGATGCTATGTAGGATGTTGGGTCCCCCCCTTAATAGGATGCTGCTCTTGTTGATTCAGCAATGTGACATGTAAGCAAACCAAACTGCATGCATTTCTGTGGCTCACTCATCCTCTGCGTTAGATTATGAAACCAACTATAGAGAAAGAGCTGTGCCTGGAAGGCATCGCACATCCCTCTGAAGCTATAGAAATACCACCCTCCCCCCTTCTGTTGTTGTCCTTGGCGGTCAAAGAAGACTACGTCTCGTCTCAGTGGAGGAGGTATTTAGAGAGGATTCTCTAGCAGGATCCTAAAGGGTTAAGAAACCCTCTTAAATCAAAAGAGAGAAAGAATGAGGTATTGTTCAGGACCCAGCATCTCCTGGGTTCTATTCCCGGATCTGCCTCACGCTTCCTGTGTGACCTTGGGCAGGTCACTCAGCCACTGTCTCTCTTCCTTAGTTTCCCCACTCCCTAAATGGAGCTGATGCTCTTCCTGTGATGCCTAATCCCTTATTGTTTTTAAGGTGTTTTGTGCTTCTCCAGTAGAAGGTGCCGGCATCTTACAGTATCGATGATGATTTGTATTCACTTATTATGCATGTTCTTCTCATCGCTGAGAAGCTGCTGCGTTGGTATAGCTGTTGGGTTTTGGGGGGACTCAACCGTGGTGTAAGCCCTCTGAGAGACACTAGAAAGCCAGATTTTATTTGCTGTGTATGCAGCATCCTCACCAAGGGCAGGTTAAACTGCAGTGCCCTGCTTCTCCACTCGATGGCACAATTGATCAGAGATTTGAACTGCCGCAACTCCTTTCTGCTCAGCCTTTCCCGATTTCCCTTCCTCTTGTCTCTCTTCCTCCCCCTTTCCCTTCTCTGTTCTAACATGCCGGGAGGACACTTATTGATGCTAGATAGCGGACAGAGATAATCTGATGCTGCTGTAAATTAGCAGCCACCCACGCCCACCAGCCAGCCTGCCTTTCAGTCTCAGGTTTTTTTGAAGCATGTATCAGTGGTGTTTGGCTGTGGTGGTGAATTGAATTCTTTCCGTGTTTCCTATTCCCACAAGGAAATGGCTTCAAAGAGCAAATCCCCACCCCCTTCTCTGCTGCTGAAGGACATTTAGGGAAGTTAAAACAAAAAAACAAAAAATCCTCAGCCCTGACAGAACCACTTATTTAACAAGCCATTGTGTTTCCCTCCCCGAGCAGGAGACTGTAAAAGAGGGGGCTGGTCCTTTTATATCCATCTTTTGTATTCAGGTGGTGATTACCTACCCAAGGTCATTGGTGAGGCTCCTACATGCCGCATCATTTGGAGCAGCCAAGCTCAGTCCCCTGCTTTGAATGAGCACTGCTTTCAGTAAGGCTTCCGTCAGGTAAGGGGTTGGGATGGGAGAGACACTGCCATACGGAGCTCTGGAGATGGGCTGTGTAGAAACCGCCACAAAAACAGCATTCTCTTTTATGCAGGAATCGGGGGCTGAATGAAACCCCTGCCCGGCTGGCTCGCTGTATAGTGGGAGGCACTGTGTGGGGTTGTGCCATCATCCTTGATGACAGCAGTCTCCAACATATGCCAGGTCCCCTGCCCCAGCAGGCCTGGGGTAATAGGCACAGTATAGAACCACCTTCCCTGGCCCCATTCAAGACTGCTCTGAAGTTTCTCCTTCTGTGACATGCAGTAGTGAAGTTGCCTCCACGTAAACAAGCTCACGCCGCTCACCTGGTGCCTGCAGCTGCTGTCCCAGTGACCTGGCGTATTGCTGATCCGCCTGTGCTGCAAACCTGCCGTGTACCCACAGCAATGGTGCTGTATTTGTCCACAGGTCCGGGACCTGAGAGCCTTACAAGCATGAACAAGCATGTCTGTGTGCCCTGGGACTCTCTGATTCATAGAGTTTGAGGTCAGGAGGGATGATGCCCATGTCACCAATATGCCACTGGCACGGAGCTAGTGACAGCGATGACCAACCCACACTGCTGCGAAGCACCAAGCTCACATGCAGCACGCTGTTAATGACTGTGACACCACGCTTACACTGAAGCCTTGCCAGATGACGCATAGAACTTCCCCAAGGCTCAGGGAGCACTTTCCTCCCTCCCTGACTTCGCATGGCATCAGCTGGATGCAGCTGAGGACTAAGTATTGCATCTGCATCATGTGGGGACTCTGAAAAGGGAGCCCAGAGTTGCAGCATCTGGATTTTGGAGAGCAGCGAGTTTCCCTGCCTTCTTCCTTGGGGTTCAGAGATCAAGCCAAACTGCATCCTGCCTAAGGGTGACTTATTTTTTAGCCCTGGCTCATACAGATTTTATGAAACAGGATTTTATGTTTCTCCTCCCCATGGTATTTACCAGATTGCTCCAAATTACATGGTGGTGAACATGAAAGCCACATACCTGTGGAGGAGAGAATGAGTAGTTCTCAGTTTTCAGTCTGGCTCTCTTTCTCTCCCTACCCCTTCCCCACCTCTCCCTGCCTTGTGGAGCCAGCTGCTCCGAGAATAGTTCAGGAATGAAATGTCACAGTTTGAAGCTGGTGAGTCACACTCTTCTACCAAAATACAATCTTGCAGCATGTCTCCTGATGGGGACAGCAAGACTTTTCAAAATGCAAGCTTCCTGATGGAGGCCGGTGGTTCTGAATAAACCCTGCGTGCTGTGTCCTGGCTGTTTGTTGCATGATGATCATAAGGTACTTTTCCAACTTTAATTATCTAGTTAACGTGCCCATCACAATCGGACCAGGTGCCTTAGCCAAAAGAGCTGCATTGTTTCTGTCTGACAATGCACCTACAGTAAGTCTCTTAATTAAGTCTCCCTGCACTGCTGTGAGGTATGTAATTACAGTGAAACCTGCCTTAAGCAACAACTCAAGGGACCAACAAAAATAATTTCCTTACCAGAGCAGGGAGAGGCAGGATTTTACTAGGTGCATTTTGGGGTACTTTGGGGCAAGGTAGTAAAACAAGGAGGGGGCCTACTTAAGGTGGTTCCTTCTCCAGGTTTCCCTGTGGTAGATTAACATGCTCATGCTATATACTGGTATGATATTATTAATACTACTCTCATAATCATGGCTTAGCATAATAGTACTAATTATACTAGTTAACATTGTTCTCTTTTCAAAAGGCTCCCTAGGATCTTCATCTTCCACTAGAGACTGCCAAAGGATTGCCACTTAGAGCCAATGGGACTATTGTGTTTCTGTGATGCGGACCATTGTCCATCAGAGATAAGTGAATGGAGGACCTTCTCTCCCCACCCACGTTCATATTATATGAGAACCATCAAAGAGCTTTCACATGGCACCAGGGCTCAGTCAAAGTCGGGCTACATCAGGCATTGTTTGATGAGGTTTTTGTCTCAGTGAGGCCTGAGGGATGTGGTGCAGTATCAAGCTCTCTGTCCTGGCATATTTTTTAACTATTAAAATTATTTTATAGCGAGTGCAGTAAAGTTTAATGAGTTTATAGAACTTGGGCTAGGGCCCCACCTATTCTGTAGCCACTGAGTTTGCCACAGAATTCATCCCTTGTTGCAGATTTCTGTTCCAGAATCTCCTTTTTTTCAAAAAGTATCTCGCCCTCCTCATGGTAAAGATGGCCAAGAAAGGTGACAGGAGCACGAGTGCTGTGCTGTATGCTCTTGGCCAACTCAGGTGTGAAATAGCATGTCTGAGAGGTTTAAACTTGCCTTCCTTGTCCCCGTGGGTTATTACTTCTGAAACAGAAAGGGAACAAATTAATGCTTACGTGGTTAACACTTTCACTGTTGTTCCATTCAGCTAGATGCCTCTGCTGAGAGCTTGCCCTCCAAACTGGCTCACGCTCCTCTCCCAGTGCTGAAAGCCTCAAACATCCTCTAATCCACTTCCAGCCTCCCCACTAAATCCTGAGGTGCCATTAGCCATTGTCAGTACAACAGTGACATGTTGAAAAGTGACCATGCAGGGACTGCCTGGAATAAAGTCAATGCACTTAAAAATAAATAACACGGGAGCTCCTGCGTTGATTATATTGCTCCCTTAAATACTGAATTCAAGATGCACTCGATGTTTTAAATACATCTGAAGCTATGATAGAATTTCACGGATTTCCACCAGAAGCCAAGAATTTTGCCACTGGATTTCCAGCACACATGTGCACTCAGTGATTCCTCAGAACCTGAAATCTCCAACTGGGAATCGGGCTTCCAGACTCTCTCGTACCTCGGCAAACTGTGGCTTCAATACGCAAGGTTCCACCTCATCCAAACTAGGATTTCTGTTCCATTCCAAAGGTCACTGGTTCTATCCATTTGTTCTGTGACTGGAAAATGATGACAAAGTTTATTAACCAAGATGATTTTGGACATTTATTAGCAAGACATTGTCAGGCAACAATGGCAGCACAGACAGAGAAGCTGGTCCCAGTCCCATAGTATTTCCTGCAGGGCTCCCTCCAGCTCACAGCTCTTCTCTGCTGATCCTCTCGTATTGTTTTTGATAATGAATAGCAGCTGATTGTTGCATTGTCTAATAAGTGATTCATTTACATTAAGCATCGCTTCAAAGTAGGATTTGATTTGTTTTTTTCAAAGTCCCTTCAGTTGTTTAGTTGTAGAGATTCCATTTTTTTGTAACCGCATTGTTTGAATGATTTCTCGGTTGCTTCTACAAACAGCCAAATTCCCCGATGTAACTTCCTGAGCAGCCTCTGGTGTCACAGAAGTGGAAGCAGGATCCAGATTTTCAAAAGAGGCATCTATCAGGGGTCTTGAATGGCCAATTTGAGACCTCTGCCCTGAACTCCCTGTCAGTTTTGCTGTCCCTGTAAGTCCACGTGAAGGCAGGCATAGAGCCTCAGCAAGTGGGAATGGCCAGAGTTTCATTGGCATCCCGTTGATCTACCCCACCATCTCTGAAACAGAGACACCTCACATTGCGGCTTCTGAAAATGCGGCCCCGAATATTCAAATTCCTGAACGTTAGTTTTGGCTCTGCCTCTGACTTCAGGCACAACCCATGGCCCCTCTGCCCTGGTCGTGCTGTCTCTGTAAAATTAGCATCAAACAAGCAGCCTTACAAAAGTGTTGGCAGGTAACATCTCTGCTGCCCTTTGAAGTTGAGGAGTTCTAGATATCCATGTATATTAAGTATGAAGTCTTATTTTCATTATGCGCTGCAGGCCTTTATATTACCAATGCCAATTGCCCCCTCTTCTCTAGATGCTGCCACTCCTAGGTGACATGGTTTTACAGCTTAACACCAGGGCCTGGTATGATTTCACGCACTTCAAAGAGGACCAGTGTTCTTGAATATGGATACTGTTGGCTTGTCCAGTCTTGAGGACTGCCATTCTTTAACATCGCCACATTTAAGCATTAACTGGGGTGACAGTGCTTCTTCTTTTAATGTTTTCTTAATTTAGCATGGTGTATAAGGATTTCCCCTGTAAACCAGCATTTCCAGCATGGTTAGCTTGTAATTTCTGGTGTGTTCTGCAGAGGCCTAATAGGAATTCAGACTCAGTAGTGGATGTGATGTGCTTTGGTGGAAGTGGACAGCACTGTGATTCATTGTGAGAAACTAGGTGGGTGAGAACCACCTAAGTAGGAATGCTCAGCCTTGTACTATATGATTTCTGACATTCAAAAAATGCTGTCTTGTTATGAGTGCTTCCCTTGATACAGAGGTTCAGGAGAGCAAACACATGGGCAAAGCAAATGCAACAAAGTGAGGGGCTTCTTGAAGTCTGAAAACCCAGTAAGGCAGTGGGTTGGAAGAAGGATTGGACGGTGGGCTGAGCTTACTGATGGATGGAGACTGCCATGCTGCTGGAGCAGCCAGGATCACAGACGGGGTTCTTCCCCTGTGGTTCTGGCCAAAGAGCGGCAAAGGCCTTTGGGGGGCGCTGCTCGTGGAATCAGAAGGTCCCAGAAAGACCAATCAGTGTGAACTGATTGGGTAAAGTCTAGGAGTGGGAGTCTGAATTGGGAAGAGACAGCTGGGAGGTGATAGCTTGAATACCAGATACTCCACTAATGTGAATAGCAGGTAAATGCATACTATACTTAACAGTATGGCACAACCTAGTTCCCAATGTGTTGCTTGTTGGATATGTTGTAATAGGCTCTGGTTATCTACTGGTTGAGTGCAGAAACCACCCAATTGCGTTACATCTTTCAGCCCCTTGCCTGCTGCATATCTTTGTACTCCATTTAACTGGGCCCGAAACAGTGTAGGGGAAGCAGCTGTCAAAGGGCCGCTATTAGAAGCCTTGAAAAATGACAGGAGCGCAAGTCAGCTTCATGGCTGCTGATCCCAGAGCCCTAGCCATGCTGTAAACAAGGCTTGTTAAGCACATGGGGCTGTCAGTGCTGGGCACTTAATGAGTGTGGTTTACCTAAACTCTAGGCAAGTGCCTGCTCCAGGTACATCCAGAGCCTTCCCAGCCTTGAGGCTATGGGCTTTAAGGGGGTTCCCTGTGAAAAAGGTAGGGAGGAAAGTGAGAACACTGACCAGAAAAATGTAGTGGTGTGAGAGCAAGGGGGCTTCCTGGGACAGGATGAGGGACTAGCATTAGGACAGCATCTGCATGGAGTACCTTTATTAAGAGAGATCCAGCAGGCAGGAATTGCTAATGGGGCAGGGAGGTATGTGCAAAGAACATGCTCAAGGAAGGGAACAGGAGTCCGAGCAAAGGGCACAGAGCAAAAGGAAAGGCCAAGAAAGCCAGAGGAAGAGGGATTGGCAGAGGAACTCCTGTAAAAGCTGGGGACAGCACCTGGTTCCCAATTCTGCTGGAGCCTGGGAAGCTGCCTGGCCTGATGTCTGGTTCCAGGGATAGATTTCAAATCATTTTGCACATTCGGATCCCCGTGGGCCCACGTGGAGTCTCATAGGTTTTGGTGGGACTCGGTGTGGACCTTTGAATCTGCTTCTGCAAAATAGTTGTCAGGATCAGGGCCTAGGAGAGTGCCCAGATCAGTCCAAGTGAGAGGCAAAGGAAAGGTACTGTTAGTATCAAGCCATCCATATGCTATGGCCTGGGTTTGGGGGCCACAGAATGGGGGTCTTCAGGCCCTCCCACCCTCCAGCTAGTGCTGGGGCTCCAAATATTGCCAAGAACAAAGAACTGGGGGTTGTTTTACCAAACTTGCTATGTCAGTGCTGGCCAGTGAGAGAAAGGAAATGAGCCCTCCTGCACACTCTCAGGACCTGTCTGCGATCAGCTGGCAAGCTTAAAGGAAGGAAGGTGACCACAGTCCCTGGCTGGGGCAGCGGTCCCAAGTGCGACAGGACCAGCCCTGAAGTGCTTTGCTGCACCACTGTGACAGCTCTCAAGCCTGGGCCAAAGCTTCTGTGGGTGTCCTTAAGATTACTGAGCCCTTAGGATTGTTTGAGTTATTTAGCCTCCGTGCAGGTCACATGGCAATCTAGCAGCCACAAAGGGGGTGGCACACACCCCTGCCAGTTACTCAAACCCCAGCCAGCCCTTCCAATAAAACCACAAAGCCCTGAGCTGCCAGTGAGGCCCTTCCTGCCTTCCTCATTTGCCCTAGAGTCTCACCCCGCCCTGCCCTCCGGGGAGCCCACAGTACTGTGCTCAGTCACAGGCAGTGAAATCAGCAGCACATTAGCAGCTTGGTAATGGCCTTGCGTGGTGGAACCAGCTTCCTTCATTAATCCAGAAGATGAGGGTTGTTTTTGTACACGTGAGAAGCTCATTATTTAAATACTGGGAATTAAGGCTCATCATATTCCGGAGGCTGATTCTGGTTGTGTTTCCCTGGGGTGGGGGCAGAGGCCAGTTTTGCACAGGTGTGCAATATGATACGGAGCTGCTCAGGGCCCAGAGAAGCAGGCCACATGCACACCCGCTACTGTCACACTCTCCCCAGGCAGGAGAGGCATTTCGCTGTCTTGAGCATCCCTCCCTTCCACTGCACTTGTTTGCCTGTACACTGATTGAGTGTCGCTATGGCTTTGCCTTTGCTGCCAAAAACTACAAGGCAAGTCCCTGTCTGCAAAGAACCTCACTCAACTACTTCAAAGCAAAACAGTGCATCATGTTGGCTAGGATTTGACAGTGGGAGAATTTGTACACCTCTGTTATGCCTCTGTAAAAATAAGACCATTGCTTTTTTTGCATGGAAATGTAATGTCAGGTAGCTGTGTGGTGCTTGATGCGTTGCCTTGGATTGCTGCAGTCAGAGGAGGCATTGGGTTGGAGAGCCATTGGCTCATAACCTAACAAAAGAGACTTCCACTGGCCTGGAAAATATAAGGAGCACTGGACTATGGTACTTCCCAGGAGGTGCTGGAAGAACACAGCCTGTGCCAGGTTCACGCTTACAAGTAGGTTTTATGGGATAATGATTTCCAGGGAAGATGGGTGCTTTTGGCAGTCTCTGGGAAAGGGGATCTGCTGATGTCTTTGCCAACAGCTGCCTCCTACGCAGACAGATACCAGCACTGTTTGTGACAATGGAAGGCCCCCCTCTTCAAGACAAGCAGCCTGCTAAGAAACAGGCTTTTGAATTCTTCCATCAGATTAGTCACAAACCCTGGATCACCGTCAGGATCTAATGAGGTGAACCACACAGTGTGTGCAGTGGAAGCTGCCTGATGGAGTATTATCTGGAGGGAAATGTCTTGATTAATACCAAGGATGAAGTTTTGGCCTTGTTTCAGCCCATGGCAAAATTCACACTGAGTTCAACTAGGGACCGGATTTCACCCTGTAACAGCAGGAAGGAGGCCCTGATGACTGGTACTGGGGCTTGTGCAGGTATGAGGGACTGTGCCCAGTAGTCATCATGTTGTGATTTTTTAAATCAACTCCTTGGCCCTTTTGTACTTGGACAGAGCCAGGTGGAAACCTCCAATATGAATCCAGTGGCCCTCAAGCACTCTGCTGATGGATCAGCAGTCAGACAAAACTTATTAATTTACAGAAGAGGCTACAGCTTGGACTAGTAAAAGCTCACTGAGCTCAGCAGCAGGTGAACAGTCTGGCATGGAGCTAACAAAACAGCTGCACCAAGGACCCCATCCTCTGAGCTGCTGAGTGTCTTCAGAATACCGGATGAAGGATACTTGCTGAGGGTTGAAAGGTTCAGCCCCTTCCAGGATCAGGCAGCAGGTTTGCTCTGATTGGATCTATCTTTGGCATTCCTAACACACCTGTCACTTGGTATCTCAGTACCAGTGTCTGGCATAATATCTCAAAGGCTCTGGGTTGAGTCATGAGACATTTACTGCGGAGTAGACTAATGATCTCTGCAGTAAACATCTCATGTCTACACATGCAGCCCTATTAGGCCACAGGAAACTAATTAACTCTGCAGCAGAGTAGTACTTGTAAGTACAAGTACTATCCCGCTGTGCAGTTTTTTACTCCGCAGTACTGCACATGTAGACACTGATGCGGCTGGCTTGGGTGTGCCTCCTAGCTAGCCCCACACTGGAGCACCCTCATGCCTGAGCCACCCAGTCACAGATCTGAAAAACTGTGACTTGTTCTGATGTTCCTAGCCCCTCCAGTTGGAAAGGGGG